ACTGGCTTGAAACTATATGCCAGTCTTTGTTTCATGCAAAAAGACCCAATAAACACGGAGATACGATGATTATTTTATGAAACGGAAAATACTGGAAACTGTAGATTCTGCTCAACAGGATGTATTTACCAGGGAGGGGGTGAGGTAATCAGGTAAACGGAGTGATAAGAAGCAAGACGAAAAGAGACGAAGAGGGACGGCGGGAAATGGAGAGAGACAAAGATATACGAAGACAGGCGGCGGGAGACAAAGAGAGACAAAGAGAGACGAAGAGAGACGGCGGGAAATGGAGAGAGACAAAGATATACGAAGACAGGCGGCGGGAGACAAAGAGAGACAAAGAGAGACAAAGAGAGACGGCGGGAGACTGCGATTGAAGTAAAGTGACAGACAAACATTGAGAAATTAGATATAGTTAGATAGATTTAGAGTTTTGAAGATTCAACTATGATGAAGAGAACTCTGAACGTGAGTCAAGCTATAAGCTTGTTTTTTGACATGGAGGAGGAGGAGCCTGTGATGTTGCCCTCTTTGTCGTAGTTGACAGAAACTGTTTTGAAGCGTGGCACAGATAAAGACAGAAAAAACAGATTTTTGTTCATAATGTTCATATATATAGTTGTATTATATTTATAATAACACTTTTGCCTTATCAGAATGAAATCCCATGTACATTATTTAAGCTTTTAAATGTTTTGTTGTGCCTACTGTGTCACTGTTGACAGAACTTGAGAAATGAGGGGGAAAAGCCTATGGATTCACCTGATATTTGTTCATAAAATGTGTATATAGGTTCATGCTACCTCAATCAAACTTTCACATTATCATAGTGACATCCCATGCATCTATTTCCAGCTTTCAAATGGTTTCGTTGTGTATGTTTGTGTTACCTTTATGAAAAATAATATAATTTTCAAAATCTGTTTTTACGTTTTTTTGTGATTTTGGGTCCAAAATGTTCATATAGTATCTCAAAATGAAAGAAATAACTATCCGGTTATATAGGTGAGGTTGTCCTTAAAAAAAGATACCAAACATTGACATGCCAAACATTTCTTAATGGGGTTTAGTAAGACAAATCTAAAGTATGCGAAAACGGCCAAATTAGCCCAGGACTCCAAAGGGTTAACACATTTAATCATTACACCCAGCTGGAAACTCACAGGCCCAGGGTTGTAGATGACACGGAGGCCTGTAGCAGCAGGAGGCTGTTTCACATGGAACCTTGCAGAGGGAGAGATCGAAACAAAAAGTAGTTGCAGGTGAATGTTTTCCCTTTAGATTTGAAGGTGACTCAGACTCTCCTGTACCTCACCAGAGAACTTTTTTTAAATCTCTTGACACCCTGCTAATTATAATGCTGAAACTAAATTAATAAACTAATACTTATTTTGATTATTTCCTAGTCCATCTGGTGTCTTACCTGCAAGTGTCAGCACCCACGTTCTTCATCACCACAGTAATTGCAGAGGAGGTGCCCTCCTGCAGAGTGCCAAAGTCAACAGTGGAGGGGAGCAGCTGGAATCCCCTTGCTATGACACTCGGATCAGTCAGAGAAATAGTCCGACACTTCCTCCTCACCGGCTCCTCCACTGATAGGAACTGGGATAGAGTGATGTGTGAATAGTGTGTGTGCATGTGTGACAGTGCGTGTGACACAGAGAGAGGGGAGCATGTAGGTGTCTAGATATATAATGATGTATAATAGAATAGATTTTGGGAATGTTTGGCTACCTGTTGATTTGGTATGCTGCGAGGTTTAGAGGTGAGGATAGAGGTTGGGAGTCTGACTTTAGTCCTTCTGAGTTTTCCAGTCACATCCAGCTGAACCGACTTGCTTTGCCCAGGTGAACCCCTCACACTGCGTTCCCCTGGATACATAGAAACATGGTCATTCAGGCATTGATCTAAATGCCCATGACCTGCATCACAACCAATTTAGAAATAATCTAATAATCAATGACTGTGAATTGAAGGAGGCGTTGAGATGCAAGCAGCTATTAAGCAATTCAAATACATTTCCAACCAACATACAAGTAATGTTACATAACTTGTTGAAACACAATATACTGTTTATACCTGCTAGAAAATATAAATCTTTAGTCCTATTTAGAACATGAACTTGGTTTTTTCTTTGCTAGCAATGTAGGTATTTGCACCATACCAGTGAGAAAATGCGACAGTTTAATGCACTTTGTTGCTCGATGACGCATGAAATATAATTCAGACTATGACCTCAAAATGTCCCTGATATATTCAGATGTATGTCCTGATTGATTCTGCTGTTCCCCGTGCTTCATGCAAATCTTAAAATAGTCATTTGAATTCATTCCGCCCTGCATTTGACACAAAAAATATAAAAAAATACTAAAAACAAACCAGCACTGTGAGGCGTGGGGTTGCTGGGTCTTTCCTTAAGCCTCCTCTCACTTCCTGCTGCATGACTTTGAGCAAATGGAAACATTATTTAGACAAGCAATGTATGAGGAAGAAAATCAACTGATGTTTTATGATTCACTGCTAAGTCAAAATCAAACAGGAAGAAGAACAGTTTATAACATTCTCTTTATTACCTTGCCGATTGAGAGGGTGTTGGGTTTAAGGGTCGTGGGGCTGCAAATAAAAACATGATATATAACACAGTATGCATTTGACTGTATCTTCATTTGAATGAATGCACTCTTTTTAATTCACTTATTGATACGGATGTTCTTCACTTCTAAGACAAGCCAAATTGTCTGCCGTGGAAAATATCTATTTAGCTACTGTTTCTTTGTACAGATTCCCAACAGGACTCCTTTAAAATGAGTTTCACCTCAGTAGCTGCTGGTGAATACTGACAGTATAATAACCTACTGTTCTCCTGTGGGGCGTCTTTCAGGAAGTCTTCAGCACTGTCTGAGCGGGGGATCGGAGGGAGATCCATGGATAGACTCCTCATGTCTGGTGTTTGGTGCTGGAGAAGCTCCTGGAAAACAAGCAACACTGTTGTGTTTCTTGTTTTATGTTGTACGTTTTTCATGTCAGAAAAGGTGAATTGATGTGTGTTTAGCTTGAAGGATTTTTCATAGTAATGCTGCCACAATTGTTAAAGAAAATGTACTTCGGTGTATGCATTGATGTGAACACATACAGTACCTGATACAATTGGATATTTTCTGGGTAGAAAAAAGGAACAATGCTTTTTGTCCTCAGAGACTTTCTATAAGCCTCATCCTCACACTTCTCCTGTCTGAAACACACACAGAGGCAAATACAGTATAGTGGGATGTGTAGTAAGTACAGCTCGTAAATATCTTATTTTAAATGTTATCGCAGTGCTATAAAGATAATCAGTAATACTTTGAACTTGATAAGCTACTTAACGTCAAGGTGGGTATAAAACAGTGTGAGAAGAAGCCTGTGTTTACCTGTGCTGTGCAAGTCTTTTAGTCCATGTAGACTCTTTGCCATTTATAAAACTAGATCGGAGAAGAGATTAAAGAGGATTTTACATACACATACTTTTTTTTTTAAATACATGGACAATTCACGTTAAAGAGTGTAACCTTATCTGTTCATGCATGGCATTGTAATTTCTCCTACCTCTCATTAGCTACTGTGACTGTGTCTCTTGAAACATCCGACTGCTCAACTAGAGCTCCGACTCCTTGGCTGTACAGGTTGGCTATATCCTCTGTGGAAACATACAGAAGAATAATGGAAGAAACATACCTTTGGCATTTACATGTACTTCATTCAAACTACTAAATATTAGACTTGAAAACCTCAAATGTAATTGCATGTCAAGCGAGTACCTGATCTATAGTTTTGTCACACAATATTTTAATGCTCGGACAAGAAATCTAATGCAGCCATCCAATATACTTTAGAATTGTTCTCATTGTTATTCCTTGTTATTTTGTTAGCTTTGAAAATATTAGCTTAACTGTAAAAAGAAAGTTAACCAAGGCACTGCAAATGAACATTTTATTTCTTTGGACTCCACTGAATATATATTGTTCTAAACATAGCCTACAAAACGGCTTTTTCCCACCTGAAGTCCTCTTGTCAAAGGTGTGACCTCCAGTATCTTCTTCTGCAAAAGACTTTAACATGCATAAGAAATGATTTATATAATTATCATGTAAATCATTTAATACATTATTTGTATATTTTCTGTGTTCATTGGGGAAAGACAATGGCGATAACATTCTTTTGAAGTACTATAAATGTTGTGTCTGTGTGTGTTTGTGTGCACAGACCAGGACCAGATTGAGCAGATCGCTGGCATGAGCGCTCTCCTCCTCAGTGCGAGGGTCTTTGACCTTCATCTCCTCTGAACGCTGCTCCGTCTCCATCAAACTCTCTAGGTAATCCTGCAGTCACAGACACATTTCAACTTTTTCAAAGCAGTAGTATCACAGTGTGAAGTTTCGAGGCCTTTCTTTGACCATGCCAGAAATCACTTTTCCAGGTGACCAGGTTAGGTTTCTGGTTTTAACGGGATATTCTTTTTGATCTGCCTGAGAAAACAGACCTGTAGACTCGGTTTAAAACTCAAGCATTAAACACAACAATTATAGGGGAATCCAGAAGGTTAAAATACCACCTACATATAACAGCAATTGGAAAGTATTGACAGTATATTATAGATACCACGGACATTGGTCTGTTTTACCTTCAGTCGTGAGTCCACAGTATTTCTGAGTGGTGTGTTGATTGGTCGGTGCTGGTACAGCTCCCTCGTCTCCAGGACTTTAGGGCTGCTCCTGGCGGGTTGACGCTGTGCTGCTGAGCCAGCGGACCTCTCTCTCAGAAACAAACCTAGACCCATGTGGGTACCAAACGGAGGACCCGGGCTCACTCTCTGGAAAAGAGAGTGTGTTGAGTGTCTTGTTTTTCTGTGTGTAGAAGTATAATACGTGTATATTTTCACACCTGTACCTCTGTTTGAGGGAAATCATGCCAGCTGCGGTTTTTGAGGTTGGGAGGGGTGATGTCCGGGTTCTGTTTCCCTAGCAACCACTGGGACCACACGCTCTGATGGCTAGGCTTAAGGATGGTGATGCCAAACTCATCTGTAAAAGAACAAAACTTCAGATTATATTCTGGACATTTACATAACCTTCCCTTTTGAATTTTGGTCAAAGGGGATACAACACCATTGCAAGTAACCAAACATAATGGACCATTATCTTGATTAAAATGACAGATTTTTCTAGGTTTGAAAATTGTTAGAGGCATTTTGAAAAATGTCAGTATCAACAAAAAATAAGATAGGGCCAGTTATTTTTTACAAATGTAATACTGAGAAGTTACATATTATATAGTTACTAAAATTTGGATAGATAATGAAACAGTTCTAAGTGAATCCGCTGCCTAAAGTTATTCTTTAGTTATGTCTTGGTGTTATAGATATTGAACAGGGCACCTTGTGTGTCCGGCAGTGGCTCCTTCAGCAGTGCGATGGTGGGGTCAGAGTAAGCCTGGTAGAGCAGCTCCTCAACGGTCTGAGAGCTCAGCAGTTCAGTACCAGAGCCGTCCTCATGCACCAGAAACAGCCTGCAACATAACACAATGTTCCTCTGACATTATCATCCACAAAAGCAGTACAATAATAATACTTAAATATCACCTTATCACTACTGATAATGTATTAAGGCAGAATACATATCATTTTATACCAATAGCAACATTAAAGGGATAACAATTAATAAAAATTCTGGCCCACCTGGGACAATGTTCTCTGTGTTGAACATGTATCCTGGCCCTTTCTCTGTCCTCCTCCTCTGGCTCCTCCTCCTCACCCTCTTTAAGTGTACTTGGAGCAGGGATATAGTTCAACACTAATACCTGTCCATCTTCCATCACCTTTAACACACATGCAAAGTTCAGAGGATATTTAATGACTTTATTTATTATCAGAGAATCTGAGAAGGACAGTTGTTTTTAAAATATGTTTTATATGAGGCTGCCTCCACAGCCATTACGTGTTACTTGTTAGACGCTTTTACCCAAAGCGACTTACATACTCAATACTGTGGATAATCCTCACAGGAGCAAATTGGGGTGAAGTGTCTTTCCCAGGGTACACACTGACAACGACATGCTAACTGTAGTGGGGTTTGAACCTGTGCCCCCCTGCCCCCCAGACACCTCCTTACTTCACATCTTCACATCTTCCTATAATCCTGACCTGAAAGTGGTTCCCATCGGGGTCTGTAACATCACAGGCCACTATGTCTGTATGAC